GCGCTCATCGTCATCTTCGCCAACAGGGTGGGCGCTCTACATCGTGGGCACTCGTTGTCGTCGTGTCATAACATGGTGTGGTGTTTGTCAACAGGCACTCATCGTCGTGAGCGCCTGTCCTGTCGTGGTGGTTGTTAACGAGACGTGTTGGGATGGGGCATTCACCTTGTGCCCATGTCACTGACAGTGACATGGCACCTTGGTTTCCCATCGTTGGGGGCACATCCTCATCCGTGGTCGTGGCCGTCTGTTGACATGGCCATCCTCTGTTGACGTGGTTGTCGTCCATTGGTGTGTAGTCATCATCCTCGTCGTCTGTTGATGTGGTCGTCGTCCATTGATGTGTGGCTGTCCTCGTCGTCTGCTGACGTGTCGTCGTCCTCGTCATCTGTCATCGTCCATTGTCGTCCTCGGTGGGCAGTGACGGCGACGGCAATGGTTGTGGCTGGTGGTGGCCATTGGCGAGGGTGGTGATGTGGTGTGCCCGGTTGTTGTCGATGATGATGGTGGTGGTTAGAAGACAAACATTGTGGATTGTTTGATGATGCAAAATCGAGCCTCGGCGTTTGCCGAGACTCGATTTGGGCATGGGTATATTAATGTTTATTAATATTATTGATTAGTAATGTGTATTCCAGACATTGCATTCCGGTTGCATTCCTTTTTGTCCATTCTGGGGACCATTCTGGCTACTAATCAGGAATGACATCATTCCTGAGGAATATTTGTCCCCCAGAATGTCATTTTGGCTGGTGTCTCTGCCAAATTTGATTCCTCTGGATTCTGCTGGATTCCACAGGAATGACTGGAATCCGGCAGGAATCAGTGGGGCATGATAAAGACCTCGGTAACATACCAGGATTAGAGGGCTGGTTCTTCTTGTTGTTCTTTTCTGTATGCACATGCTCGGCAGTACCCTGATTTGTTAAGAAGTATTAACATACAAAATGACAAACAAATGTAAATACAATGCAACTGTCATGCAAGAAGTAGGTAAGTGACACTATGCTGCTACAACCCTATTATGCTAATCTGAGAGTTGCAGCTGCAGCTGTGCAGCTTCCTCATATTTTCCTTGCTTTGAATATGTTGCTGCAAGTTTAGTCATGCTAACCAAGGTAGCTGGATGTTCTGGCCCCAGTACTCTGTTACACAGATCCAGGACTTTCAGCTGCAGCTCCCCAGCCTCCTCATATTTTCCTTGCTTTGAATATGTTGCTGCAAGATTTGCTATGCTGGCCAAGGTATTTGGATGTTCTGGCCCCATCACCCTATTATGTAGATCCAGGACTTTCAGCTGCAGCTCCCCAGCCTCCTCATATTTCCCTTGGAGTAACATCATTGCTGTAGATCTATCCATGCTGGTCAAGGTATTTGGATGTTCTAGCCCCTGCTTGTTCATCCTCATTTCTACAATTTTATATTCAAGATACTCTGCATCTTTCCACATTCCATTTTCATGGAATACATAACTGAACCTAGAGTATTCATCTTCATCAAACACTCTTTCAAAGCCATCATCCTCCTGTGGCTGGTAATTGGCTCTATCATCCTCACTAGATCTGATCGTAATTCATATCCTGTAGGAGGACAAGTGATCATCAAGAGGGGAGGTGTGATGTCGTACCAAGCAGTTATGTGAAACTCTATTGTCAGGCCAATGGAATGATTACGATCGAAGATCCAAAGTCCTACCTACCGAAGTATCGAATGCTGGAAGTACAATGAGGCGTCTGTGCACCACCAGAATTTCTTGGGTTGGATTATTGTCGTTACGGTGAGCCATCGGCACAGCTGCAGAGTGCTGAGATCTAAGTTGGGCGAACCAAAAAACGGCGTCATCACAAAGTTTGGGGCAGCCGATCGCCGCAGGAGTTGGTACGGGTGAGTGAACCAACTTCTGGTAATGGTGCTTTAGAAAGGGAAGCATCACTCAAACCATGGATGCTCACCTGATAAACAGCACAGAACATCTACCGTTGGATGACTGGCCTCTCCTCTGCGCCATAAAAATGTACGGTCCATTGTTCGTCGTCCTGAACATGGTGTTACAGGGAGCTTTCCGGTCTAACAATATCCCAAAACACCTGCATTGAGTTCATGGGGGGGTATGGTGCACGATGTGAACTGTAGGATAGATGATCAGAAAATGGACACTTCAAGGAAAGTAGATGAAAGAGGGCACGCACATAAACTTCAGCAACAAGATGATCGCCTCTCTGTTTGTCATTGATCTTTCACTTCACTCAAAGGGTGGTTGACGTGGGTTTCTGAATCAACTGCAGACCAGGATTACAGTGATGAGACGTTCGTGGAAAATGAGGACATGAGGGCAGTGAGCGAAAAAGTAGTCGAATGAATCGGAATAGATAGCCCTCCACCAGTTTGAAAGCTTGTGCACCATGTGTGAACTTGCAATTCCGTGTCAGGTTTACTCTCAATGAGCGATGACAGATCAAATACTTACCCAGCGAATGTCGAGCAGGACAACTGGACAGCTCTGCAAATGTAAGGAGAGATTCCCAGGCACGTGAATGGTAAGCTAGCAAAGTTGGAGGAGATGTTGGTGGTCAACGATCAAATCCGTGTTGAACGTTGAACATTTGTTTTGGTTGTTGTCTCTTTCCACTACCTCGACAAGTCAACAAATTTCACTATTCCTGCATATAACCACAACAGATGTTCCCCATACCAACTGCCTCGTTTAATCCTCCAACTATTGATATTGCATGCATATAGCCACCTCCAGAGTTCCCCAACCTACGTGCAGGCGCCTCCTTCATTCTTTCTTTCTGTTTTGCAACAGGGGGAATTCTTAGCATACAAGACCATCAGCTGCATCACAGGTGTTTGCAGCTTTCGACACTAATGCTTCAGCATACATTCTCGCAAAAGGCGGCCTGTGTTCAGTATGCGAGGAAAATCAATGGCGTGTCTGGGAATGCCAACTGGACTTTATAGATTGGGACTAGCTCGTTGATCTGCATGCTTGGCTTACAGGACACAAACATTGCATTGGCATCTACCATGGACACTCTCTTACCCTCTCCCCTCAGGCCTAGAAGAACTTGACACACCGATCTCTGCAACTTTTCAGTTCCTCTCATCAGTTCTTGCACCCGACGACAAAAGAATCTACGCCTTGCAAGTGGGTGTGGCGACTAATAGAAGGGGAGTTGATTAGCATTGAGGATTTCAAGAGAGGTGGTGGCGAGGTTGCCCAAGGATGTGGGGTGTGCGGAGCGGAACGTAGGGCAGATGTGGCGGTTC